ACGTGCAGGGTAAGTTGATTTGCAGAGTATTTTTTTTTTCTGTTATTTCTCTTAGTGGTGTCCTCAAAACCCCCAGGGAAGTGTGGGCAGAGGGGAGGGCTCCAAGGAGCTCCTAGTAATTCAATCTGGCGGAGCTGTGACCTCTGCCACCCCAGGTTCCCACAGCTGCGCATGGGCCGGACACCCTGTACCAGTGTCTTCTGCCAGCTGGTTTGGGATGGGGGTCTCTTTGGGGGCCCTGGTCCAGAAGCCCCCCTCCATCCATCCTGAGGACCCACCCATTTCCAGAGCAGCCTCCCAGCAGGGCGATGCTGACTGTCCCAGCACTACCCTCTGGGGAAGTTCATGTTTCCCAAGCCATAGAGAGCTGGGAGTGACAAGGCATGGTCCAGAGCCAACCTTGGCGGGAGGTGCCAGAGAATGTCCTGGAAACGTCCTGCCACGCCTGCACTGTGCTCTGCACTGCAGGACAGCAACCCCTGTTCCCTGAAAGCTCCTTCCATGCTGCCAGGAAGCCCTCGGCTCTGCCCTCCCTGGGCCACCCCTCTGCCCACCCCCACCCATGTGGGATCTTCTGCGTTCAGCCGCATCCCACCCAACACTATCACAACGGAGCCTGAGTCTGGAAGGCACTGCCACCACAGGCCAAGTTACAGCAGTGACACAGGGGTCCCGTCAGTGGCTGGTTCTTGCTGGGGGCTGCGGGAGCCACCAGCATCATTCCATCCTCTAGGGTGCACAGAGCCTTCTCAGGCCTGATTCGCGCTGGAGGAAGAAGAGCTTAAACATCACTGCTGGCAAGAGCGGTGACATCACACAGAGGGCACAGCCCGGACTGGAATCCAGCCAGTGGGACTCTAGTCTGGATTCCTCTCCTGGATCCCAGGGCTTCCTGCCTCTTGGGGAACCTCCGGGCCTCAGGGTAGGCCTGCGAGAGCCCGGTCACTGGAGTGGGCATCTGAGCCCTGGGTTTACAGGGGTTGGGGAGCCTCAGGCAGCTGTGAGAAGTGGCAGGGTAGGGTGTCTGGGCCCGGACACACCAGAGGCAGAGGCTTCCCGGCACAGGAGAAACAACTCTGGCCGTGGGCGGGCAGCCCGTTTATGAAGATGTGTGTTAAGGAACGTTTGTAAACCAATCAGGTGACAGCTCCAGCCACTCCAGCCCCTCCCTTCCTCCTGTCAGGGACATCTTTCACCTCCTGGCCTTGGCTGAAGTGAGAGGTACAGCAGATTCCCCCTCACAAACACAGACCTCTGGGCTGTCACCACATCCCAGATGCGGGAGGTTGGGTCTCCAGCTCCTTGGGTGAGGAGCCATAGTTGGTCCCTGCTGCTCAGGACTCAGGTGATGTGGCTTCTCCTTTTGTCTCCCGCCAGACTGAAAGGTCCCCAAGCACGGAGACTGCCTCCCCATCAGTTGGGGCTCTGGGTTGGGGAGGGATGAGGGGCTAGGGCTGAGGGCTGGCAGGAGAAGAGAGCCAGCTTCTCAAAGTGTATTGGCCCTGGGAGGGGTGGTGGCCACAGGACTCAATTTCTGACCCTGGGCTAGGCCGATAGCCTGGTGCCCTGGAAGGGGGCCAGGATGGGGCTTGGGTCTGGCGCCTCCCCGGGCTCAGTGCCCACCCCCATCTGGTTCTCTCTGGGGCCTGGAAGAACCTCAAGCATGGCAACTGGGTCATTTCCCAGGACCCAGACTTCTTTGTAGGGTTGGCACGCCCCGTCTTGTCCCTCGGGGGTTTGGCGCTTGTCACGCCGAACGAAGGGACAAAATTAGCTCTCTACTCTCACTCTCAGGGCTCTCCAAGGGGCCAAACCATCCCAGGGAGGGACCAGAACTCAGCCTCCTGGAAATCTGCCCAAGGCTTTTTCCCCTGGTTCCTCTGGGAAAAGATCCAGAAACAGCCTGAAAGCTCTTGGCACACAGGGGTGGGATCAGGCCCTGCTGGGCCATCGAGAGAAGCCCCCAGGACTCTGGGAACCTGTGAGATCCCCCTGTAGCCAAGGGGGCGATCTGCACTCAGCAGGCCCTGAGGAGGGTCCCCAGGGACCCCCGCTGTGGTCCTGCTCTGTGGGCCAAATGCAATTTCACGGAAACCTCAGAAGTCAAATCCTCTTCAAAAGGTCGGCCTGGAGCCAGATTCTGAGCACAGAAATCCATTGGCTGTTTGAGGATGGTCGGAAAAATAGGGGCTCAGCAGACACGGCCCCCATCTGGTCTTCCTCGTCTGTCTGTCTGTGCCCACCCCGGCTGAGTCCCGGGAGAGCTGAGGACAGGCCACCAGCTATAGGGCCCCACCCGAGTTAACTGGACTTGTGGGTCGGGGGGAGTAAGGGATAGGAGACACTTCGGCAACCCCCCCATACACTTTGGTGACATGTGTCCTCAAGACCGAAAGGAAGGTGACATTGGGTCTAGGCTTGGCAGTCTGTCATTTGACAGAGTCTGGTACTGCCATTAAATGAGGGACCCTTGAGTCAAGTGGAGATAAATTCAAATTCCAGATTGGGCCAGGAGCCGCACAGATCTGTAATCCCAGCTACCTGGGAGGCTGAGGCAAGAGGATTCCAAGTTCCGGGTCATCCTGCGCTACACAGCGAGACCTTGTTTCAAAATATAAAAAGGGGTTGAGATGCAGCTCAGGGATACAGCTTCTGGATTCCATTCGCATTAGGGAGGAAGAAAAATTCCAGACCTGGCAAGCCTTTGTCCGGTCTTGTCTGCTTCTCACCTAGGAGAGAGGCTTGGCAACTCCTTCCGGGAAGGGAGCTCTGACGTGGGAGCAGACAGTACCGCCTCGGGACTCTGTTCAGCACCTGAGTGTGCTTTGGAGAGCGAGTCCCTGCGACTGCTTCCTTCCTTCCTTTTTTTTTTTTTTTTTTTTT